ATATAGGATTTGCAAAATACATACTGGGTCATGAAAGAGAATATATTTCTTACATGGGCATGCTAAAAAAAAAGTTTGAAAAACACTGCTGTGGGTCCTGGCTCATATTCTTAGTTCCTTTCAGCATGGCATAGAGAGGCAAGTCAAAAGAATATTGGATTAAAGTAGAGGATCTGAGCTTTTGGCAGTTTACTGGCTATTTAGTGGCTAACTGGGCAAGCCCCTTAACTTTTTGCTCTACTTGTATAATCGGAAGAATATCCTTGTATCACCTCATGGAGTTGTGAGGAATATTGGATTAAAAGTAGAGGATCTGAGCTTTTGGCAGTTTACCAGCTATTTAGTGGCTAACTGGACAAGCCCCTAACCTTCCTGAGTCTCATTGCTCTACTTGTATAATGGGAACAATATCCTTGTATCACCTCATGGAGTTGTGAGGATTAAATCACAGAACATAAAAAGGATGTTTTGTAAAACTAGGCAAATGCATGACATAATTAGTGTTGCTACCATGTTAGAAGTGTGTACTGTATGAAGCAAATAAAAGAGTTCTGTAAAAAGGTTCCAAACCATAAAAAATATTCCTGATGCAGACACGATCAGTCGGCTGCATTTATCTGTAAACGCTTGGTATGGTTCTGGCTTTCCCGAAATGGGGTTCATCCGCTCCTTCTTGGAATACTTGGCTTCAAACTGGGGCCGTATTTCTTCCTAAAAAACAAACAGGCACATTTTATGCTCTGAAGAGGTGCGCACATGATAAGAAAAAATAATCATTTTTGATGATCTTTCTTTATTATCATCAAGGCAATGTGATTTAGACTAATAGTTAAATGGCTATTACCTTATGAAACTATGCTTGAAGAACGCTGAGATGAGAAAAGGGACCACCTGTCCTGTCTCAAGTGGTTTGAAACAACGTAGTAGCTTTTACTTTCATGACCAGGAAGTGAAACGGACACATGGACAAAGAAAGCTTCTGAACAGCAAAATGTTCAAAATTCATTATACATTTTTTAATTTTACTTTTTTTCTATTTCTTGACCTCTTAGCATTTGATATAACCAACCATTTTTCATCAATCTCTTCTCATGGTTCTATGATACATTTTTCTCAAATTTCATCTTAATGGCTGCTGCTTCTATTTCTTTTGCTTGTTCATCTTTTTTGAGCTCTAAATGGGTGTGCTTTTTTTTGGGGGGGGGTTAATCTTCACCTGATATTTTTCATTGATATATATATGATTTATTTATTTATTTTTTAAGAAAGAGAGTGAACTGTAGGGGAAGAGACAGAGAGAAACCTTGATGTGAAAGAGACATATCGATCAGTTGCCTCCCTCGTGTGTCCCGGGACGGGATTGAACCTGCAACAAGGTATATGCCCTTGACCGGAATCAAATGTGGGACCCTTCAATCCACAGGTTGAAGCTCTATCCACTGAGCAAAACCAGTTAGGACTCATTGTATGAGTTATAATGGCAATCCAACTCTTAGTATTCTCCAATCTTGTTTTTTTTTTTTTTTTCCTAGTGTAGGCATTGAAAACCATGGTTTCTCTATTTTTTTTTTTTAAATAAGCCCCTAAAGGAGTCATTCATGTTAACCACAGATTTTAAATGTCTTCTTAATTGGTATTGAAAACAAAGTAAATACCTTTCAAATCCAGCTAACATCAACGCTCCTCCACTTCTAAATCAAGCTGAGATTTTATTTCAATTAGTTGGGGCCCCATCTAACGTGAAAAGCAATTATGGGATTAGGAAAAGGTAATCAGCAAGAGGGTATGTTGAAGTCGTTCCAGTTAATTAAGTACATGTTGTATTTGAGTGTCTAACAAGAGGAGAGAAAGTGAGCGGAAACCCTGGTGAAATGGAGATTGAGCCAATCTAGGTAGAAACACTCAAGACTCGGATGAAGGTACCTGCAGAAAGCGAAGCAGCAGCTGATGGAAGATTGTGAAGAATGTGCACAGCCTGTAGCAGGAACGGCAGCCTGGCTGTGCCCAATGCTGGACTTCACTCAAGGGCAGGTCATAGGGAAGGGAAGGGGGACACAGAAACAGGTCCTGACTCCTTTCCTTTATTTTAGGCAGTTATACTTAAGGGTGTAAGTAGAACAGACCTAGAATAATCTGCTTCTTTGGGAAACTTCTAATTTGTCAGGCGGTGTCATTAAGAGCTGTTGAGTTAATCATCAAGCAACTGAGGCCAGTCACGGAGCCAGGCCTGTCTTCCTGGGTCTTATCAGCTGAACTTGTCCCCCACATGACTTTATATATTGAAGTGCTAACCCACAGGACCTCCGTATGTGACTGCATTTGGAAACAAAGTCTTTGCAGAGGTAATTAAGATAAAATGCGGCCAGTAGGGTAGCTCCTCACCCAGTGATGGCGAACCTATAACATGCGTGTCAGAGGTGATACGCGAACTCATTTTTTTGGTTGATTTTTCTTTGTTAAATGGCATTTAAATATATAAAATAAATATCAAAAATATAAATCTTTGTTTTACTCTGGTTGCAAAGATCAAAACATTTCTATATGTGACACGGCACCAGAGTTAAGTTAGGGTTTTTCAAAATGCTGACACGCCGCGCTCAAAAGGTTCGCCATCACTGTGACCTGACCCAGTATGACTAGTGTTCTCGTAAGGGAAAATTTAGACAGAGACACAAAGAGAAGAAGGCTCAGGGAGTAGATGGGCATCTATAAGCCAAGAGGAAGGGCCTGGAACAGATTCTTCCCACAGAGCCATAGAAGAAACCAACCCTGCTGATACCTTGACCTCAGACTTCCAGCCTCCAGAGCTCTGAGACAATACGTTTCTGTTGTTTACCTGGTAAGCCACCCATGTGGTACTTTTTAATAGCAGCCCTGGCACACGAATACCCCGGTTGACCCCTCAAGGAGGCATGCAGCAAGTCTGGGCATTTCTGCACAGCAAGCTGAGCAGCACAGGCTAGAAGAGACATTTCTACAGTGAATCTCAAACTGAGAACTGGAACTTCACATGGCTACTGAGGCAGGTCCTGCAAAATGTATGCTGAGTGAAAGAATGGTTCAAGCTTTTTTTTTTTTAATCCTCAGTTGAAGATTATATATTATTGATTTTACAGAGAGGAAAGGGGAGGGGGAGAGAGAGGGAGAGAACGAACCAGTAAGGACAGCAAAAGGGCCTTTCTTTTTATTTGCTGTGGCTTTCCACAATGTATGAGAAGCACCTGGTAATTAAAACCCTGGATTGTTAGCTTCTCTGAGTCAAACAGCTCCTCTGTTAAAACGGCAAGGCAAGGCAAGGCAAGCTACTCTCAAGGCTACATTCTTGCACTTCCCATCCTCCCTACTGTTTTTATAGCTCAGGGATAATTCACGCCAAGGAGTTTCTAGTTAGTAGAAAGTTCCCTTCTCCCCTCCCCTTCAAATATGCCTCTTTTGAACTCTTCATAACTTTTGCTCTAAGCATGTTTTATAGGTTTGAGAAAAATACTGATAAGACACTTCTGTAGGGCATCTGCCAGACTGTCTCCTGAAAAACAAACAAACTATAATTTTTCAGGACAAACACCCCTGGTACCTGCTCAACTTCAGCCCAATATCCTCCTCCCTTCCTTGTCGCATAGCAACAGCCAAAAGACTTAAAAGGGGAAGTTGCCCTTTGTTTATTGCCCTGTGCTGAATAGTGATACTTGACCCTTTCCTTTCATGGAAAGTAAAACAAACTTCCTCTCTGCATCTCTTCTTTTAGTTGTGAATTCTATCACAGCCCAGGTCACTGGCTAAACCCTAACAGAAACATTGATTGCTTGCTTTCCATAAGTGCCCTGACCTGGGATCAAACAGGAGTATGAATAATGCTCCAACCTACTGAGCCATCTGGCAAGAGCAAAGAATGGTTCAAGATTTTTTTTTTTAATGCTGTGCATTTACATGTGTTTTGTTTTGTTTTAGTATATCTTTATTGATTTCAGAGAGGAAGGGAGAGGAAGAGAGAGAAACATCAATGATGAGAGAGAACCACTGATCAGCCCTCTCTTACAGGCCCCCTACTGGGAATCGAGCCCACAATTCGGGCACGTGCCCCAACTGAAATCGAACCTGGGACTCTTCAGTCAGCAGGCCAACACTCTATCCACTGAGCAAAACCAGCTGGGGTTGGTTCAAGCTTTTTAACAGGGTTGGGAAGACAGAGGGCTCCAGACTTACAAGAGATGTTTATCCTGAGGGTACCTGCGCTTCGGGCCCACCAAAAGTGCCAACTGTGACTTTTAGACTGGTTTTGTCCAACTTACTTAAATAATTCCATACAGTATCACTGAAAGAGGAAAATTTAGAAACACCTCTTTTCTTTGGAAGTGAAAAAAGTCCAAAGATGACAGGATTGCTTGGTGGTGACTCAAATTCCCAGGAAATAAAAATCCCATTTGAAAGTCGTTCTGATGAACACGTGACAAGAAACAGCAGAACAGCTTCACCTGGGGGGAAGTCCCCATGCGGCCTGGAAGCTGTCGCTAAACTCCAGTCACCTGGACAGTTCAGAAATCGTTTACTGGGGAATACTTACAAAAACATGACAGAGTCCTTACCCAACAAACAAGGATTGCTGGAAATCCCAGTATTATTTCCAGATCTAGAACTGCCCAAATGTATTCAAGGGCATGAGGAGAAAAAGTTACCAGGTGTGATTTGAAGAAAAACAAACAAAAATACTTTTCAAAATGATCTCCACCACCGAGCCAACCACAGGGCTAAATTCTCATTTGTGTTTCCAGAATATTCCTTTTAACATATAAAAATATATATGCATAGCAGGAAAACACCCATTAAATACCCATCATCACAGCACATGTGATTAGTTTATCTGATTTTCTGCCACAACAAGGCTCTCAAGAAATGGGATTCAGGAAGGTAAGAGATAATGAATGAGAGGAAGGAAAGAAGAGTTCAGGCCTAGATTGGGCTGACAAGGGAAGTAGGGTCTGATGTAGTGACCAAGACCAGCAAGGGTGCGTGAGAGACTTCTGACAGGAATGGGGTGAGAAGAGGATGAAGACCAGACCTAGGTTGGGAGAGGGCACAGTGTATTGGCCTAAAAGGGGAGAGTGGTGGAGCTGGGAGGGGGTGGGGGGAACTTCAGTCTGAGGTTACCTCTCCTTGACAGACTTATCTAGAGCTGGCCCTGCATTTAGCCACACCCATCAAGGAGGCAGCTTGAGGAGAGTTTTCAGCTCAGCATTTCGCACTTCGGGGAATGCTGACTTTGTGCATGCCTCTGGGCTCTGTCCAGGGTCCTGGAGAGCTCCCGGAAACATTGCCCAGGAACAGTTCTCTTAGGGGGCATTTGCTTGCATGTGCCTAAGTTTGTAAAACTATCGCTCTCCTTCTGCTGAAGTGAAGCAATGGATAATATCGAAGAAAGCTAAACAAATCTTATTACCAATCCTTTGGATGCCTCTATTTAAAAGTAAAGTGATTTACTTAGCTATGGACTTTGATTCCACTAAGCAATCAAAAAAAAAATTTCTTTTTAATTCTGTTTGTGGTTTCTAGACTACTTAAGAGTTTTCTGCAAAAACAGATACCGCAATGCTTCATGAGTAAACCTGGCTTCTCTCACAGTGCAGGAAGTGATAACTGAAGGGGACTGTGTATTTCTTGGTGATTCGCTTTATAAAATTCCGGTGTAAATGATACAAACCTCTTCCTCTTCCCAGTCTATCAAATCCCAGTCATAAGCAATTACTGCTCGCCGTCTTTTCCAAAACTCCAGGAAAACTGTCGCTGGAACAAGCACAGAAAGACACGAACATTTGAACAAAAAGCAATGCTGTTAACTGTGCCGCTAAGTAATGAAGCCATTGCAAAGAATGACAGCTGTTTGTGTAAGCATCCTTGAGCATCAGAACTTCCCGCTAATCTAACATAAGTAGGAATGTTTTCAGAGAATTACCAAGCTTGTCTCCTGCATAATAAAAAATCAGAGATTTCATTTAGAATAAATTAAGCTAATTTGCAAGTCGAGACAGAACAGACTTATTAGAATGACAGGGCTCTCAGGATGTAAGAATACAGAAAACTCGGTTACTAACACCTTTCTAATTGATGGCATGTTTATTTTTAAAAGTCAGAGGCAGTGGCAAAAATAAAAACTAGCAGTATTTGATTGGCAGTGATGACTGGTTCCCCAAATCCTCCTTGCAGGAAATACCTATGTAAAATGTATTTTTTTTCTATTTCATTGAAGGAAGCTATTTTATTGGAGGAAGAAATCCTACTGCATCTCTCTCTCTCTCTCTCTCTCTCTCTTTTTAAAAAAACAACAACAAAAAAACCATGTCTTTATTGTTGCATTGAAGGCACATGGTGTAAATTCTGTTAAGAACCTTTTCCAACAAGTGTTGGCATCCCCACCCGGGGAAATCTGGGGGTAATCCTTAACTAGACAAAATAACTTTCTACTCATTTCTATTTTAAAAGATCTACTCAAATGAATTACTGAACACTCTACAATGACAGAGAGAGGTGAAAAAAAAATCAAGACACAATCTTGCTGCCTTGGAAGTCACAAGCCAAATGAGTGACACACAGGCATACACACACACAAACTTTGAGAGCAAATGTAACTAAAGATACCACAGGGACGCCATGGGAGGCAGAGTTGATGAGCCTAACTCTGTTGGGCTTGCTGTGAAGTTAGACTTACAGAGGCAAGAATGTCACGTATTTGAAATTCGTTTCATGAGGAAATGTAAATATCCGAATGCCCATTCCAAAGAAAGATAATTACTTTCATCTTTCCTATTCTGCCTTGCCCTCACACGAACTCCCCATTAGTGGCATTTGAACATAGAACATATATTTTTAAAATGAGTAACTGGAAAGGCTGTATAGGATAATAATTAAGAGCTTGCTGGCATATGATCTATCGTAGGTTTGAAATCTAGTTCAGATATAACCAGTACTACTCTTGGCAAATCAGTGAACTTTTCTAACTCTCCATGTCCTTCTAAGCCAAAGAAAAATGGCAATATAGGTCTATGTTCCCTATATGAAATGCTAAAATTCAAAATGATCTAAAAATTCTAAGTTCTGTCCCCCTGCCCCAAAGTTTAGCAAAAACTCATCTTGTGGCAGGTTCTGACCTGGACTGACATTAGAATTCTAATCGCCTCCATTTACCCCTCTAAGTGAGGAAATCCACACATTGAAAGCAGCCATATGACTGTATTTGAATATGGGGTCCTTCCCAGACCTGCTGAGTGTTACATAATACATATGCCATGCGCCTTTCCAAAATCTGAAAAGTTCAGAGTAATTATAGTTGGTAAGAAACCCACACCTAAACGAATCAAGTGCTTAATTCTTGGAGAGGGAAATTAAAATAAATGAATGTCTGTGGAGATTAATAAAAGTGCCAGCGCTGAGTGGCCATTTCCCACTGGCATCCTTCCTGTGAGTCTGGTTGTGTTGGGGTCCCCAAGGCCACCTCCAGGTTTGATGACTCATGAGGATGACTCATGGCACTCAGCATAGAAATAAGATTACAAAAGATAAAGTAGTGCAAATATCTAGAAATAAAAGGCCAATTATTATAAAATTTATTTTCAGCCCTAGCTGGTTTGGCTCAGTGGATAGAGCATCAGCCCACGTACTGAGGGGCCCCACGTTCGATTCCAGTCAAGGGCACGTACCTCAGTTGCAAACTCCATCCGCAGCCCTGGTCAGGGCGCATGCGTGAGGCAACTGATGGATATGTCTCTCTCACATCTATGTTTCTCTCTCTTTGTCTCTCCCCCTCCCTTCCACTCTCTCTAAAAATCAATGGAAAAATATCCTTGGGTGAGGATTAACAAAAAAAATTATTTTCAAAAACTGAGACAAACTTCATTCACAAATTACTGACAGGATCAGAATCTTTGAATTTGCATAAAAAGAACCACAATCTTGTTATTGATCAGAGAGCTCTAAGAACCTTGATTTGTTTGTTTACTGGGAATAATTTAATTTTGGTCAACACTTAAAGTAGGAAAAAACAGGAAGGAAAGGAAAAACATACTAGTAAATGAAGAACAGAGGGGAATAATCTGTTTGCTGACAAGTCTCCACCAACAACTAGCTCCCTAATGACTCATTTTTTTTTTCCCTAGGGAGAAAAGCCAACTCAGGCCATAATTGGTTTGTCTCTTGAATCTTTCTGAACAAAAATGAGCACAAAGGAAAGAGCCACTTGGCTCAAGCCCAGAGCCCTGGGCTCCTAGTATACTTCCAGGGTCCCCAAGAGGCCCTGCTACCACAGACCTGTGAATATGAACAATGGTAGTGGAGTTCTAGCTCCACACAAAGGCCTTCCCAACTGTTACAGACTGTTTCCAAATGGGCCTTATTGTTTCTCTAGTGAATACACAAAGCAAAAGGCAACAAAACAAGCATATCACCCCATGTCTTCCAGGTCTAGTAAACCACTTACATCTGTTCTCAATATCTTCATATGGAGCAATTTCTCAAAAATAAAGTTTCTTTTCTTAAATGTTGCAACTTGTTAATCATAAAGAATGATCCTGCCTGGCCAGGGTGACTCAGTGGTTGAGTGTCAACCTATGAACCAAGAGGTCATAGGTTTGATTCCTGGTCAGGCACATGCCTAGTATGCAGGCTTGATCCCCAGTAGGGGACATGTAGGAGACAGCTGATTGATGTTTCTCTCATTGATGTTTTTATCTCTTTATCCGTCTGTTTTCTCCTCTCTCTAAAATCAATAAAAATATATTTTTTAAAAAAGAATGATCCTGAGACCATTAAACTGGGCTCCATTAGGACTGACACACTTTTATAGAATATACCATTGCAAAGCAGTATAAATGTGGCTCAGGGTGAGCATAATAGTCTTTTATCTGAAAGTTCTCATGTTACACAGAATATCTGAACCTGGGCGTAGACTGTGGGAGCTGAGACTTGCGTGTTGAAGTCTTGGCTTTGCCACTTTCTAGCTACTGCCTTAGTTTCCTCATCTATCACACGGGGATAACAACAGTACTAGTACTTTCTTCAAAGGTTGCTATAAAGATTAACTGAGATGATACTGTACAATGCTTAACACAGTGTCCAGAACATAAGCCCTCAATAGTGAATATTATTATTATAATTGTTATTATTGCCTCCCATTCCAGATTTCTACAGAAGACATAGCCCTATCTATAAAGAAACACCTGGTGTAAATCATTCTTTTTCTCATTATTTTTCTGGGAACAATATAAGATTTAAGCAATAAATTTTCAACTAAAACAAAGCAATTCAGAGGATGAATTATTCCAGGCTTACATTGTCTGGAATGAACCTAAAATGTTCCCTTGTGCCCAAGGGTTATTACAAAACATCTGTCAGAGTCTTACTGAATACCCTCCAAGGTACAAGGACTGTCAAACCTCCAATCCACCTACTTCCATCCTCAGAAGCTTCCCAACTCCATCCTACAGGTAATCACCACCAATCAATCAGTTGAGATTGGCAGGATAAAATCAAACCTTTTTATTATGCCCAGCATAAGACATTCCAAGTTGCAAGAAAGGGACACAATCGCCTTTGTAGCGGTGGTATTCAGTGAGGGGTGGAGATGAGAACCTCTGTTTTATAGACAAATGTCATTATCCCAGAACTTCACTCCTACATATAGTCTCAGAGAGAAAACATGATTTCAGTCAAAGTATATCTAAAATGGGTGAAACATTGAAGTGGGTAAGGAAGTTTTGTATGTAAATTCTTCCAGAATACATTTCTCTCTACAGAAGCATTAACTCATTATACAGTAGACGAGTAGCACAAAGCAGTGCTTCCCAATGGGTATGACAGGAATGGACTACAGGCCTGCAAGAGATAATAATCCCTTTGGCCCTCAGGGTGGCTGGGGCTAGGGTCTTTCAGGAGTATTATCCTAGGCCCTGAGCAGGCTCCTTCACATGCATCAGTACATTGTTAAAATCTTATCATTTTCTATGTGTGCTATGACTTGAAAGAGTTTGGGAATCACTGACTTAAGAATAAGTATATATTTTTAAAGTTTCCTTACATGTAATCATGGCAAAGGTTAAGCAGTGGATGGTTTATTATACTTCCTGATCATGGTTACTGATAATAATATGGTCTAGGAAAATCAAATACACATTCTTGATCTGAGAGCTCAGTCCAGTAACCAAAACTCTGTTAATGATTGGCTTCCTTTGTTTGCGAGGGACAGACACACACAAATAGTGAAGGCTTTCCGCAAGGCCCACCAAGGGAGGCGGGAATTATATGGGAATCAAAGACTGGGCCTATTCAGAGACAGTGTACAGAAGCCGGCAGCTTGAGACACCCTAGTCACAAGAGACTCTGGTCTTCACGTTGATACCCACCAATAAGATGGCTTGGCTACACTCTTTGCTTCTCTATGGGGGATTGTTCCACATTTTCTTTCAGTTGGCCACCAGTTGGCTTCTGCACCTGTATTCTATATCTTTTTCACTAGCTCTTTATTGCTTGTCTGTAGGTTCTGATTTCTCTTAACTTCAGCCTTCTCATAATTCCTCCTGATCCCTACTTCTCCCTGATGGTCAATCTCAATCTCTCGCTTCCTCCTCTACACCCTTTCTGCATCCTTCCCTGTCAGTTCCTACTGCTAAGTTCCTGTCTCTATCTGCATTTCCTACCCCACATTCATGAGAATGAGGAACGTCAGGTCTTCTCCCAGGCCACTCACCAACCTAGGGTTTGACTGATCTTGGGTCAAATACCCACTGGCTGAAAGGGGCTGAAGTCACAGAAATAAAAATATGTCTCTTTAACAAAGCTGTGATGGGTGGGACAATTTTCCTTTGAAGATCTCTAGGTAGGCCATCCTCAAGAGAACAGGGCTTTATATTTCTACTCGTCAAAGATTATTTAAACACTTTCATCTCATAAATCCTTTTGGCAATTTCCTTCTCTTTCCCAATCCATCCATCCATCCAATATGAATCTCTCTGTCTTAAAAGAAATGCATGAGTTCTCCTGTGATAATATGGTCCTTAAGAAAGATAAATTATATGTGAATATGATTACAAGTTCCACTAAAATGATATGAACCAAATGCTATAAAAGTTCAAAGAAGAAAGACATCTTCTGGCTGGAGCAGATGACATTTCAGCTGGGCCCAGAAAGATGGGGAAGATGCTGATATTCATTCCAGACAGAAGGAACAACATGAGCCTAAGCCTCGAGTTAGTGGAGTTTGGTAACATCCAAATTCACATTTGGTATTAAAATTCTAGAAAAAAATACATAATCATTGAAAAAAAATTCAAATCAAACTGAAAATATATAGTGTAAAAATGCTGTCTCTTGTCACTGTTCACACTTACCCTTCCACGAATTCTGCTCGTCAAAGGTAACCACCATTCATTGTTCACTATGAATTTGTCCAGGATATTTTCTCCACTATTAACTTAAAGCTTATAATTATTTGACTAAGAAGATAACCCATTAAAATGAGACTCATTTTACAAAGAAGTGGGTTAATAACTTTGGATTAATTCTATAAGTGAATGTTCCATCACACCTCGTTATTATGGCTTGAAGTTACATAAAAGGACTCGATCCAGCCTTTTAAGTAGCTTTTGTTTATAGAGGGTCATTTTGACCAGAATTGGAAGAAAACCAGACGTGGTTACTCATGCATTAGCCTAATTAAAAGATCCCACACACAATCGAAAATCCTATATCATCCTGAGATGGGTATTTGGATCTCATCATATCTTTCTGTTTTATCTCCAACAGAAGGCAAATTTACTCAAAATATGTAATGCTATGTAATTGTTGAAGGTTTAAGAGAAAGCAGACATGTTTCTTCTTTACAGTATCACTTTTTAAATAAGCCACATGAATTATGTATCAGCTTGTGTCTAATAGAACAGGCAACTGAATTTACTCCAGCTTCTTCCTTTCAAAATCCAAAGTCAGATTTCTGTGTGTTTTTTAAAATATATTTTTATTGATTTCAGAGAGGAAGGGAGAGGGAGAGAGAGATAAAAACATCAATGATGAGAGAGCATCATTAATTGGCTGCCTTCTGCATGCTCCATACTGGGGATTGAGCCTGCAACTCAGACATGGGCCCTGACTGGGAATTGAACCATGACCTCCTGGTTCATAAGTCAATCTCAACCACCAATCCACAACAACTGGGCCAAAGTCAGATTTCTAAAGGAACGTATCAGAGAGCATATGAGGGGAACTCAAGTTCCATGGATGTGGAACACTTACCCCAGACTGCCATGAACACAGCAAAGAAGACAGTGGCTCCATTGTCAAAAAGGTGGGTGACCTGGGAACATTATGAATCACAGTTAAGCTAACTTCCCATATGCTATATTCCAATTCACATTTTTTTCTAGTTCTGTAAAAATAGCTATGATGATGCAATGACTTTTGCCAGGTTTCTTTGGAAGATACTCCTTTTGGATCATAATCAAGAAGGGAATTCCTCTGACTGTGAATGGAAGCGAGAGCTTGTTCCCTTCAGGTGAGTCTCAGCTAGCTGAACATTTCTCAGCAGCCCCAATAGTGCTACTAAGGATTTCCTTTTGTGCACTATAAAAACTAATATATGTGCAACATATGTATTTGGATATATTTAAGAGGTATTACTGTTGTACTTTAAAGGTTTCTGATTCCCCAAGCACTGTTTTTAATGCCTCATTCATTCACTTTGAAAACATCGCTATTTTGTGTAGCTTTGAGCAAACATTTTCTGGGCTGCCCTCTGGGTTTCAGCATTATGAAGAGGAGAAAGTAGAGCATTAACAAGATCCACTTCCACCTGTATGAAAGCCTTGGGTAATCACTATATTTGCCTAGCACACATAACAAACACAGCTAGCAAGTACTTTATTGTTAGAATAATATATTCTATCGCACACCCACCGCAGAAAGCAAAAATATTCTTGCTGCAAAACTGGCAGGCTCATTTCTGCCTCCAGGATAAATCACACCAATATCATGCCAAATTGAAATGATGACTGATATATTCATAAAGGATAACTTTTTTTTGGTGCTTTATAGCTCGCTATAAAGCATACTTTATTGTCCCTCAGAGAATGTGCCAAGCCTAAACAGATCTTATTCTGCTACATCAGAGTATGAAATATTCAAATACTTCCAAAAGTTTATGCTTTCCCTCCCTCCCTCCCTCTCTCTCTCTCTCTCTCTCTCTCTCTCTCTCTCTCTCTCTCTTGAACATTAGGAGAGAAGGCAACATTCAAACATCGAAAGAGAGATAAAAGTCTAAAGCAAATTTATTTCATATGCCGGGGTAGTGGTAAGCTGCATATTGGGCGCCTGGCATAAAATCAAGCCCAAGAGTCCCAGTGGCTTGTGGGTGGTGTGTGCTCAGCACTAGGGCATTCCCTGGGAGTTGGTAGACATTGTAGCTGGCACCATCAGTGTAGATTCTGGAATGGGATTGGGATCGTTGTTACTGCCAGTTGCTCAGGTCATCTTTCCCTCCTTTCTCCAGGTAACAGAACTCTCTTATCAGGTCACTAGAGGGCACACAGCTCAAACAGAAATACCCTGAGTCCTTCCCAGGGACTGGTGTGCGAACATTTGGAGAGAGACCCTTTTCTGCTGCAGTGAATATGTGAGTCAGGAGGGTTGGCGAGTTAACAGGGACATCTGGTTCCTACTAAGATGGTAAGGTAGCATAAGCTGATGGCTCCCTCTGCCACAGGCAACCCTAGAGAAGCAAGATAGTAGATTCTGGGAACTAGCAAAACACAAAACCAAACAAAGACCCTGAGAAACTAGGCAACATCTACCTTCGGAAACAGATATTCTGTAACAGCAGACGAAGAATTTAAAATAAGTACAAAAATACACTTAAAGAGATAAAGGGAGGAAAATGTAAGCCTGGAGCTATGGTGGTCAGCAGCCACCATCCCCATCCTGTGATGAGAACCTGTCTGCAGAATGATCATGTAGACAAGTGGCAAGAGAGCAACACTTGGGGACCTGGAGGACCAGTTCTAGGCTGAGCCCTTGTGCTCAGATAATGGCAACTATTCCAGTGTTTTTTTTCCAGGGCCATGAGCCAATGTGTCCCTTTCTGCATAAATCAGTTAAAGCTGGTGGCTGAACCTTACAAATATAAGGGTTGAGAAGAAAACATTCCTGATCAACAGAGCAGCCACTGATTAAACTGGATATGGGCTCTGATTTGATGCCTATGTCCTCAGTCCCAGGAAATCAGTCTAGCATTTCTGATAAGTTTTTCTAAATGAAAGTCTGGACAACTTCAATTCATCATTTGGAGGCTTCTTAGGCCTTCATTTTACTAAGTTTTGAGGCAAGAGTAAACTTAAAATCTGTAATCTAAAAATCTAGTGACTCAGTATGGAAGAATGGCGTGCTTTGTAGTCGGATAAACTAAGGCACAGTCACTTACTGCTGTGTGATCATGGATGAGTAATTTTTGCCTCTCTTCATCCTGAGTTAAATGGGAATAATAATATCAACCTTGAAATTGCTATGAGAATTAGAAAGAATAAATGTAGGTTGCCTAGCTATTTTTATAGCTATAGCCTAGCTATTATTATAAAATTATTGTTCTAGATATTATATTCAGTAGGATAACTGCCCAAAGAAACCCCTATAAAATCTGAGCACTGCAAACATGATGGTTCTTTTAAAGGAATTATCTTGGATCTTCTGAAGAGAGAACTTCATGCAAGGCATGCTTTTTCACATAAAAACCCCCAAATAAACATATACCCCAAAACAACAACAGCAGACTGAGTTTCTGAAATTCCCCCAAAGCAGGATTTTTGTACTCAAATCATTCAGGCTTAACTGACAATCAATAAACAGAAATTAAATTACTGACAAACTTCTTTTTCTCCTCATTGAAATCTATATTTCCCTAGCTCACTCAGTTAAATTTGTCCTCATCAACTCAGTTCTATTTGTATGCTCTCCAAAGGTAGGGAGTATTCTGTGCTTTTTTTGGCTATCTGATGCACATACCAAGAGTCCAAATCTTTTTAAAATCACAGCTGGCTGCTGAGGTTCAGGCTCCGCACAGACTGGCCACCTGCAGTGCTAACGACATCATGGATGGGCGGGCTCCTGGCTGCCTATCAAATGTTCACTCATTTATAAGGAACAAAACTCTGCAATGCCAACAGCGTAATCAGATAGATCCAAGCTGCAGTGATCACAGAGGTTCAATAAAATCTGCTAACCCTTTCATGTCTGGAATATAGGCAGGGGGTCTTGGAAAAGTCATCACCAGCCCATACTTGAGCTATTGCTACACATTAGTGACACCGCCCCTCAGTAAAACGCTACAGGAATTTGATTAGATATAAAACTTTTAATAAAGTAATAAGGTATAACATGAGAAAGGGAGATGCAAAAACCTATAAAAGAAAGAAACAAAGAAACGTATAGACATTAATGGTGCTATATGTTTTCTTTGTTTCAAAACGCTTTCACATGTGCTATCTTCCTTGGTCCTCATGACATGACATGACATGGGGCAGAGAGAGCAGGTGTGCATTTCTGATATGAGAAGCTCAGCCTCAAAATGGCTGTACCTGTGCAGGGTCAAGGAGGTAAAAATAGCTGAACTAGCCTCAGACCTAAGTCTTTTTGACAATAATGATGATGAAGAGGAGGAAAATGATGGCTTCTCTCATATACTGATATATTATCATTTGCCAAGCACTATGCTCAGTATACATCTTATCTTTCTTATAATAATTGTGTGAAACAAGTATCATGTTCTGAACTTTACAAAGGAGAAAACTGAGGCTCAGAGAGGCAAAATAACTTTGTTCTTTGATTGACAAGTGGTAAAGAGAAGAGTCGAGATTTGAGTCTTTCTCTGAATCTAACAATTATGCTCTTTTGCACTCAGCATGCTGCAGTTTCTTGTGATGATGAATAGAACCAATACATTAAATACATATATACATTATACACGGTGCAAAGATATTTGATTAGAACACTGAATGATGGAGGTAGGTCTATGCTACGACATAAGCTTGTGAACCAAAGACCAGAAATGACAAAGAGAATAGAGTTAGCCCGTTGCTCAGGAAAGTGTATGTAAATTTCTATCCACCTGAAATGCTGCATAGTTGAAATTACCTTGGCATAAACACAGCTGTCTGACAGCCTCATGAACGGACAGTATTTATCGCACACAGGACACATGATGATATCTGTAGCTTGGCAGACTTCTTTACTGGAAAAGAGAACAGAAAGCACTGCTTTTTGATGACATCAGAGCATTTCCTCCCTCCAATTTCATGAGAACATTCAACCAGTAAATAAGATCCAGTAGATTATATTTTTAATCTTCAAAGCTTCTTAGCCTTATCTGTTATTAATATAAACAAGTTCCTGCACAATTTGATAATTTGATACACCTATCTATTTATGAGGCTATTTCTTGGCTTTACATATTAGTAAGTTAAACTCAGAAAAATACATAAAGCAAAACACTGGTTGTCATACTCCAAGTTATGCAGAAGTCATTCCTAACACTGCACAGGTTTGAAGCCATTTCACACTGAATTATGGGAACAATGAGATACTTAAAAGCACCTGTCGAGATTTCTATATACAAAAGTTACTACTAATAATGGAGAAATAAGTAAAAATATTAGGGATTAGTTCTGGTAGAAAGCTACATTTAGGTAACAATTTTACCAGAAAGTAAAATATGTTTGTAGGCAGGATGGCCACTTAATCACTTAAATTTTTTAATTTTTTTTTTTTGGGGGGGTGGGGGGAGTCATGGAGAGGAAGGGATAGAGAAAGATAACAACATTGATGTGAGAGAGAAACATTGATTGGTTGCCTCCCTCATGCACCCTGACCAGGGATCAAACCAGTCACCCCTTAGTATACAGGACGATGTTCCAACCAACTGAGCCACACAGGTCAGGGCCAATCACTTTTATTCTTGCAATCACTTCTAAAAGGCACATGTATTATTTAAGAGTATTTCCCAGCCTTTCAATAAGATCTCCATGAATACTTTAAACTCTATTTTGGTGAGAGAGCCAAGATAATCATCAACACTGAATCATTTGGACCCCTCAGTATACAGGACGATGTTCTAACCAACTGAGCCACACAAGTCAGGGCCAATCACTTTTATTCTTGCAATCACTTCTAAAAGGCACATGTATTATTTAAGAGTATTTCCCAGCCTTTCAATAAGATCTCCATGAATACTTTAAACTCTATTTTGGTGAGAGAGCCAAGATAATCATCAACACTGAATCATTTGGAAGGCCCCAGCATGTGGGTGAGATGTCTTTCTAGTTTAGGTTTAAAAGGTCCTTGTAAAAACACAGAATCCATACAAAATTACTGTTAACCCACCATTTTGCAGAGTTAGCAGAAAGAAAAAAAGTGAAAAAGGCAGAAAAAGTCCATTTCAGCCAGTGAATGAAAGTGACTTGTTCTGTGGACAAATCATGGCATATGTGTCCAGAAATGCAAACTCTGCTTCCTTGCTAGCTGAAGACCACAGCAGCGAGGGCAATGGATGGTGAGGCTTCGTAAATGGACCCTTTTGCATTTTTCCAGAAGATACTGAGAAGGAAGTCAGAAGAAAAACCTAAGAGGGCCCATGGTTTGGACACAAAGCACAAACAGTATCTTTAAATAGAAGCAAAGGCAGGCTCCCCCACGCTCCCATACCTGACTTGGCAGTGATCCAGGGTAATGACTCCATACAAAAAGACAAACAGTCCAATGAAGGCAGCTGGGAAGAGCATGCCGGTGTACCAGCCCAGCCAGGCAAAATACAGCCCAATCTTCTCTCCAAAGTACCGCCTGTTTTAGACACAACAGCCTTACAGGTTATATCTTAGGGTTAGGCATTAGAACACTTTGCTCAGTCTTGCACTTTGTGGTTGCCTTGTAGATAAACATGTAGACCAGGTAAGCCAAGGGAATGGAACATTTGATCCCGTCTAGGCTCTGGGCTTAAATTTCTCCCCCTCCTACTAAATATCAGAAAGAGAATGCACACTTTTATAAAAGAACATACACAACTTGCTCTGAGAAAACATTCAGGAAGCTATAACACTTATTAATACAAAGCCAGAATTTGAAGAGTCGTTGACAACACCTCATTTTCTGCCATTTCTGGGTTTGCGCTTATGTGTAATGTATGTATTATCATTATAAATTTCTTTAAAGAATAGTAAATCAACTTATTGTGAAAAACTTTAAACATCTCTTTCAATATTTTGTAGCTTTATCAGACATTGAAAATGCTAGAATCATAAGATATTGGACAGAAAAGAAAACTCTCATTACTGAGATTAAACATGAGTAGACACTTAGAGCAACCTTCCCTTCTAAGTGGTGACTTTCACAGGCTTCGATATCTACCTATATAAATATTTTTGAGGCTAACCAGCCCTGTGATCTATGAAGTTTGAAAATGTCCAGGATATTTCTTGGTTTTTATTTCTTAAACTAGAGGCCCGGTGCACAAAATTTGTGTATGTGGGGTGTCATCCCTCAGCCTGGCCTGCACCCTCTCCAATCTGGGACCCCTTGAGGGATGTCCAACGGCTGGTTTAGGCTCGATTCCAGGCAGTCAGGCATCCCTCTCACAATCTGGGACTGCTGGCTCCTAACTGATCACCTGCCTGCCTGCTTGATTGCCCCTAACCACTCTGCCTGCCTGATTACCCCTAACCTCTCTGCCTGCCTGCCTGCCTGATCGGCCCTAACTGCTCTCCCCTGCCAGCCTGATTGCCCCTAACTCCTCTCCCCTGCCGGCCTGATTGCCCCTAACTGCCTCTGCCTCGGCCCCCGCCACTGTGACTTTGTCCAGAAGGATGTCTGGAAGACATCCGGTCTAATTAGCATATTACCCTTTTATTAGTATAGATATGAATAATATGATCAACTTGTATTAGAATACAAACCAAATTGTGCTTTCTGTGCCTTTCAACTGCTATATTTCATGACTTGGAAGGTAATTATTTCTTAGCCCAACATAAGAATATTCTAATTAGTTTATTTTCATTCTAAACAAGTGTTGTTGACCATCTGTTTTTAAATACTGACTGCTGCTTTCCTTTTAGAATGTCCAATGGTTCCTAAGAGCATGGGATTATTTATTTATTCCACCTTCTACAGTGTCCCAATAGAAACTTTCCACTCCCGGAAGGCTTTTCCAACATGCCTTTATATGCACATATATTTATTTATTCATTCAATAAATAAAAAATACCTACTATGTACCAAATACTGTGCTAGGAGCTGAGAAGATTTTGGTGAGAAAAATAAGCTTGGTCCTTGCTCCTATGAAGCTTTCAAGGCAATAAAGAAGACACACGTAGACCAATTACAGAAATACATTTATAATTACAAAACTGGGAAAACAGCTAAAAGGGAGAGGAATACAATTCTATCAGCATATATAACAAGGCCATATGACCACCCTAGTCAAGGAAGACTTCTTTGAGAGGGTGACTATTGTGCTGATGAGTGAAAATAAGCTAGGTGAGGTGAGTGATCAGATAGGAAACAGTATGTACAAAGGTCCTGTGGTAGAAGGGACAAAGTAAAATAAGGGTGGTGTGATTAGGACACTGAGAACAAGAGTTGGGCATGGGGTAAGTGGGGTCTGGGCCTCAGTGGGTCTTGTAGACCATGCTAACTGCATTGATCTTTGTCCTGAGAGAAATGGAAATGCATTAGAGAGTTTTTACAATCAAGGACATGATTAGATTCACATTCCAAAAAAATCACTCTGTCTACAGGGAAAAGAATGGATTGGAAGGGGTCAGTGTGGGAAAAGGGAGACCAAGTAGGGGACAACAGCCATAGTCTAGGTTACAGGGAAAGGAAGAAGCATGGCGGAGGAGAGGCTGGGTGTGGTCAGATTCGAGAGATATGGAGGAAGCAAAATCTATGGGACAAGAACTATTTTAGAGACAAGAGCCCCTAGATCAGTGGTTCTCAACCTGTGGGTCGCGACCATCGGAAAACACATATAGCATATCAGATATTTACATTACGATTCATAACAGTAGCAAAATTACAGTTATGAAGTAGCAACGAAAATAATTTTATGGTTGGGGGGGTCACCACAACATGAGGAACTGTATTAAAGGGTCGTGGCATTAGGAAGGTTGAGAACCACTGCTAGATGCTCCACAACCTCACTCTACTCAAGTCTTACTTGTACTTTTCATCTCCCTTCGCATTGGCCAACACCAGTCCCACTGCTCGGCCAGGGCTCAGCTCTTCAGAGCCTTCCACAGAGGCACATCCTTTCCATTTTTTCTGAGTTATTGTAAAATTTACCACCTCCATCAGACATTTTACCTAACTGTACACATAGTCTTGTATTGTTCTATAGTTGTCTCAAGTATGCCGGCCCTGTTTCCCTGAAGGAAACTGAGAATTTCTCAGCCAGAGACTGGCTTCTGTGTGTCTTTGCCAAGAGTACTTAGCATGGTACTAGAAACACAGTGGGCAGTTAATTAATACTCATTGACAAACTGCAAAGTCTTAATCAAAACACTGTCATGGACAAGATATGTTTTGCCTACAGCAACTTTCTGTAATTTTTAATCAATAAAATCCTGTAATATGAAACTGTGGCTGGGAAGAGAATTTGCTTTTATGTTTTTCCCCCACTGTTTTATCATGTATTGAAACTGATCAATGGAAAATGATCTCATCTCAAAAAATATTTTCCACTCACACAAATCATCTGGATCATTTATTTTACCAACACAAAGAGTGGCACACAATTCATCAATGTCCTTGAGTCAGCA